ACAAGCAAGATGAACTCAATTTCAGCATTCAGAATGCCCTTGCTCAGATCCTTTAGAGGCTCCCTCCTTCTCCTCAACCTTAGACACTCCTTAGGCCACCCCTTAGTTTTCTTTGTGTTTATCTTATGTTGTTTGAATTTTGTTTTACCTTTTTTATTATGAAAAAAGGGGGGAGTGCTTGAAATGGAAAATTATTTTGATTAAAGAATATCTTGTCTCTGAACCATAGCTCAAACATTCTAACTCTTAAAATGCATTTAATTGATATATTGATAATCAGGCTCTGATTTAACCAATCACTATCTCTATCTGATGCATTTGACTATCTTAGATTTTATAAGTTCAATCGGGCTCTGATATATAATCAATCAATGTTATTGTGTATCTAATGAGAACTTTACAGTCAGGCTCCGACATCCCAAATCTGATAAGATTTTTTTAAAATCTTAAATTCAGGGGGAGCTTTGATTAAGGAGATTTATTTTTTTAACTTATCTCTATAATTTCCTATTGATTATCATCGTACAAAATTGTTTCATCAAAGTACATGGTTTTGTCATTATCAAAAAGGGGGAGATTGTTAGAACAAGATTTAGTTCTGCAATCAATCTCTAAGTTTTGATAATAACAAAGTGGTATTTATGTGAGAACAATTTTGAAACTCTAACGTTTGTGTTTCTAAAGAATTAACAAACATGTTTTGAATCTGATAGAGATCATATTCAACGATTACTCTGATCTAACCAAAGTCACTTTCGCGCTATAAGAAGCAAGTTTGCTTCTGATCTACTCTACTTCAGAAAGATTCTAAGAAAACAATATGTTGTTGCTGCAATGTTCTCTTAGTTTTTGTTTCTGATCATGACTCTGATGCTTTACTTCTGAAGGCTTTCAAGCTTCTGAAGTCATAATCTTCTAAAGACTAAGTGCTGAAGACTCTAAAGACAAGGTTCTATTGCACGAATTTTTGAAGACTCTGAAGACTTGAGTTTCTAAAGAATAAGTGTTGAAGACTCTAAAGACAAAGTTTTGCTGAACGACGTTCTGAAGACTTAAGTTATTAATGACCAAAGGTTCTGAAGACTGAGTGCTTATAATTCTGAAGACAAGGTTCTGGTGAACAAGTTCTGAAGACTCTGAAGACTCAAGACTATAAATACCTATTGATCAGCTCTTCTACTCGTGCTTCAATCATCTATATTCAAAACCCTCGGATGTAAAGAAGAGAAGCTCAAACGTCTACAAGGGGAAATAGTACATAATACATTTTTAACGTCTCATTCCACTACCATGCCACTACCCTGATTTGGTGGTACAAAGGACAAATTTTGTATACGATTTTCATCCATGCGTGACGACATTATTTCAAGTCGCCAGCTACCTAAAGGATATTCCTGATCTACCCTCCAACGGATCTTTTTTTGGCTATATAAGGACTTTATTACTTGAAGAAATTATGAAGCTTTACAATGATTAATACAAAGGTCACCCTTTGATTGAAAGTAGCCTATGGATAATTGAAGCTATAGTATTAAAGCACCACAATAAAAAGAAAGAATATTGTTCATATTGTATTAGCGTCTTTAAGACATTTGAGCTACTAATAGAGTTTATATCTACTTGTTTAGAAGTAATTTCATTGTAAACATCTTTGTTCAAAGTGTTGTTTATAACTCCTTAAGGGACCAATTAGGTTTGTATCCTTAAGAAGAGACGGTTAGTCTTTGTTGTTAGTCACCAACAGTTGCTTGTGCAATTTGTATTTCTTTAAGAGACCAGTTGGGTCAGAACCTTTAAGAAGAGACGGTTGTCTGAGTCGTTAGTCACCAGTGGTTGCTAGTGCATTATAATCTGTTGATTATAGTGGATTAAGTCCTTGTGTTAAGGTGAAATCACCTTGGCGGGTGGACTGGATTAGCTTGATAGTTTTCAAGTGAACTAGGATATATCGTGTGTCTTTCTTTCTTGATTAGTCTATTTGTGATCTTTGTTTGAGTTTCACAAAAAGCTTTCATTTTTAAAAACCCAATTTAGACTCCCTTTCTTGTGTTTTCTCACATCTTCAAGTGGGTCTCGAGACCTTTGGCCGACAAGGAACATGTGTTATCCAAATTTTTGCAAGGTGTTCAGAATAGAGATGAATTCTTCAAATAAATGGTTATCGATGATGATTATGCACTTAAAAGGAAAAATTCCTAGTCTTTGACCAATAGAAATTGACATGTGTGAAGACTACATACTTGGAAAGAAAAAAAGAGTCAGCTTTTAAACAAGTGGAAGAACCTCAAAGTGAGAGAGGTTTTAGCATTTTCACTCTAATGTTTGGAATCTAACAATTGTCTCATCCATTAGTAGAAATAATTATTTAGTGGCTTTTAGGGATGACCACTCTAGGAATGTATGAGTATACTTTCTGAAATATAAGTATGGAGTATTTGAGGCTTTTAAAAGATGGAAAGCCATGGTGGAAAATGAGTCAAGATTGAAGATTAAAAGGCTCACAATCAACAATGGTGATGAATATGAAAACATCAGATTCAATAAGTTACGGTTGCATATCATATGTGCACATTAGTGATCAAGGTAGAAATAAACTTGATCCAAAATAAAATAAATGCATTTTATTTGGTTATGGTGAGGATAAGTTTGACTATCGACTTTGGGGTGATAAAAATAAAAATGTTATCCATAGTAGACATGTGATCTTAAATGAAAGATTTATGTACAATGGCATTCGTAACATAACCACCAATTATTTAAAATCAAGTGATCATGTGTACGCAGAGGGGGACAATGTCTCTGAAAGTCTCACAAGTGAAAGTCCCAAGCTAGAAGAATCAAATGAATCAAGTATCATACAAATGTCTGATACACTAGAAATTCCTACTTTTGTATTGAGAATTTTTTCTCGATCTCATGTTCCCAATAGGAGATACATGGACTACATGTTGCTGACTGGTGGGGGTGAGCCTGAAGACTATGCATAAGTATGTCAGACCATAGATGCTAGTAAGTGGGAGATTATGATTAAAGATGAGATGAAGTCTTAAATCTCTGATCAAACATGGGAACTCTAAGTTACATATAAGAAAGAAGTAATTTCACAACAAATGGGTGTATCATGTAAAGGAGGATCAAGATGGTTCTAAGTAATACAAAGTTCGACTAGTGGCAAAATAATTTCATAAAGCACAATAATATGAGGTTTGTGTTAAATATTGTTGCCAATGAAGATCTTTATCTTGAGAAATTAAACGTAAATATTTCATTTCTTCATGGATATTTAGTTGAGGAGATATACATGCACCAACCTAAAGGGTTTTTAGAAGAAAGGGACGATAATATGGTGTCTAGACTAAAGAAGAACTTGTATGGACTTAAACAATCTCTAAGACAATGGTATATGAAGTTTGAAAACTTCATGCACATGGAAGGTTTCAAGAAGTGCAACGCTAAACACTACCGTTTCTTCAAGATATATAAGTTCAGTTATGTTATTTTGTTACTTAATATCGATGATATGTTTGTAGTAGGTTCAGTTATGGATGAGATCATAAAATTGAAGATGCAACCATGAAAAAAGTTAGACATGAAAGACTTAGGTCCTGTAAGAAAGATCCTTCATATGCGATTTATGACAGATAAGAAAAAAATGAGTTTTGCAGTTATCTTGAGTAGAGTAGTACATCAATATTATTTTTGAAAGATTTAACATGGGCTATGCCAAACCATTTAGCACGCCTTTGGAAAGTCACTTTCGCATATCCAGGATAAGTCTCCTCATATAGAAGAAGAAATAGAATCCATTGTTATATTTATATATGCTTTGGTCATTAGAAGTCTAATGTACCCAATAGTTTGTACGAGACTAGACATTAGTCTAGCAGTGGGAGTTGTTATTATCTTTATGTAGAATTCATGTAAAGCTCATTAGGAATCAGTTAAGTTGATTTAGATGTATCTACGAGGCACCGCTAAAAAATATTTATACTTTAGCAAAGAAGAAATAGAAGTACAAAGTTGAGCTGATGCAAAATTTATTGGTGATGTTGATCACCAAAGAAGTACAACTGGCTATATATTTATTGTTGGTACTGAAGAAATTTGTTAGATATCACAAATATAAAAGATTGTTTCTTTATCCAACACAGAGGCTGAGAATGTAATAGTAACACAAACCATAAAAAATATTGATATGATTTGAAGGAGTGTTTACAGAGTTGACTTTTACATGGGAGAAAACGTTTTGTGTGTTGATAGTTATAGTGCAATACATCTAACAAAGAATTAAACATTTCATTCACGAACAAAACACATTGAACTTAGTTATCACTTCATCATATCTCTGCTTGAAGATTAGGCTAGCATTGAACATGATTCAAGGAAGTGAGAATTCATCAAACATGTTAACAAAGATGGTGACAATTGACAAACTAAAATTGTGCTTAATTTTTGTTGGCATGCTAGAATAACAAACTGATAAAGATTGATGTTTGATTGAGGTGTGAAGACCGATTAAAATAGTCTTCAAGTGAGATATTTTTGGTTAAAAAAGAGAAAAAGAAAGAGAAATCAAAATAAAGAAATAAAAGTAAATAGAAATAAAGAAAGTGCATAAAAAATTAAGGACGAAATGCCTGAATAGAGATTAAGAAAAACTCTTCGTACATTATAATTATTTATTTATTTTTGTAAGCTATAAACTTGGTGTTTGTTTCATTTGTAATAACAAGTGAAAAGTGCAACCAGCGAGTTTCATCCACCAACAAAGAGAAGATAAATTCCTTTGAATGAATGAATTTTGTGAGAAATATTTAGGGAGAAATACTTTTTTAGGTGTAATTGGATTGTAAGTCTTGTGAGGGAGTGATTGTTATTAAACACTATATATATTTCACTTCATATTAATTTTAGTGTGTTTTTGAAGTAACCTCCTAGAAATGTGTCTAAATTTAATGTCCAACAACATAGTAAAACAAATTTAATAATCATTAGTCAAATTACAACATGACACGAGGAATCTGTGTATAACCCCTAATTTCTTTTCTCTGTCTTGCTTTAATTTCTTCTGCACACCTAAGTGTCTTCTCAATGTGGTACCCGCCCCCAATTCCAACTTCCCTCTCTAAATGACAACAATAACTCTCAAAAACACTCACATTTACATGTAATTTGAAACCCATCAAAAATAGAAATTCAACCTCCAACTTGTTTAGCTCAATAGTTGTTAATCCACCAACTCTTCCATAGTATGAATTTCTGTAGTTCCTGTCATCAAACCAAACAAATTGTCTCTATTAACACTTCGTCTCTTAAATTCGAGTCCAATATTTTAATACAATATTTGTTATGTTGTATGTACAAATCTTTAAAATATATATATATATATATATATATATATATATATATATAAATTTGTAGAACAAAGCAAAATAAATAAATAAATAATATTTTTCTCAAATGTCTTGATTTTCTTTAATAAAAAAGATTGTCCCTTTCTTAAATTGTTAGCAAGTAGTATCAATGATTGAGATTGACATAACCAAACTTCCTTTCCACTAACTAACTTTTTTTATTCATGAGCTGTCAACACTTTGGTAATAGACATATTTTAAATTCTCTTAGATATATAGTAAAGCAGTTATTACTATCAGTTTTAATAATATTAATAATTTTCTAATTTCTTACTTTTTTTTTAAATACAAGACTATTACCAAAATATTTAATTGTTGAAAATTAAAAACACTAAAATTAAAATAAAAGTTATTATATTATAAATATTAATAATTTATTTACATTAATACATAAATAAAATAAATAAATATTACCGACAAAAAAATAAATCTTAAATCATATAGAAAAAAAACAGATGAAAACTTACAAGTCTTCGACATATTTAGAAGCCACCATGATAGTTGTAATGAGAAGTCTATGAACATTTCTAGCATTGATTCTAAATCCAGGATTGATCTGACAAAACCTATCAATATAAACATAAGCCACAACATAAACCGAAGATCCTGCTTTAGTGTACCTAAAAATTCTCTCTAAATAAGATTGAATTGACAAATCTGGGATCTCTCTACAATCAAAGATGTTTGTACTAATTGCCTTAGACAAAGACTTAGAACAATTTTTCACTATTCTCTTTGTTCTTGCCATGTTTCTCTCAATTAATGAAGCAAGGACATTTATCACTAGTGGAGTGCTAGAATCTTGTTGGTGTGAAAAGGAGTATAAATCTGAATGAAGCTTTCTTGGGGAGATTGTCATAGAGGAAGAAGCCATTTTTGAAGTAGTAAGTGATTGTGGGGTTTGTTTGTGTAGAAGAGTTATGGAAATGGCATTTATATATAATAAGGTTTTGGTGTTTCAAGAGGGAAGTAAAATGGGTTTTGGACATATGGAAGGTGAGTGGAAGGTTGAATGGTTATAAAGATAAAAGTTAAGATATTGAATGTCTAGGCAAAGTACAAACATTGCCAGCTATGGTATTTGCATGTAAAAAATTGGTGAATAATATGAGTTTGTCTTTATGTGATTAAGAAATTATTTTAATGGGTTTCAGTGAAATTAAAGTTCACACGGTTGCTAGTATTGTGTAGATACCTTAAATAAGATTCCATAACCTTTAAAAAATCAATCTTTTTACTAATAAACTATAAAAATTGTCTAGTAGTATAAGATACCAAAGTTACACTATAAATTTATGTAAAATAACAGTTACTAAGTTGAATACTTATGTCTCATTAAAACATCTTGTTGCTAATTATGTAAATACATTGGATTACACGAACACGACATCGAATTTGTGACATTGTATTGATTTACTTTTAAGGATAAAAGTTTGTCTATTAAAACTCGTGACATTCTTTTATTTATTTATTTTTAATGATAGTTAACATTTTTCTTCTTTTATCCAATGTTCTTTATAGGCTTCTATAACATAGCAGTTAAATATCTTTTATTCTCTTTATGCTTCTATCCTATTATGGTAATTTAGCAATTTTTTTCCTTTATACTTCCATAGGTTAGTTAAGCTTTGTTAGCTCAAATTTCATAATTGAAGACTTGAGATTTGGTTTATTGATTTTATTTGAGTGAACGTCGAGGAAATACTATAAAATTTTCAAAGACTTTCAAATAGGTTGAAGAATTTGATGAGGTATCTGACACTACAATTATCTACATCAACATTTCCTTTATAGTCTATTGGAGCGAGCGCTGAAAAGACACTAAATTTTTTCAAAAGAACCCAAAATAGGTCGAAGAGTTCTATGGATTAGGGAACTTTGTTACTACCTCTATTGACATAAAATTTTCTTTTTTATTTATTGTAGTGAACGCCTAGAAGAGATCATTTTTTTTAAAGAATCCTAAGTTGGTAGTTGACTCCTATGAGTTAGACACATCCTCCATAATTGTTATCGAAATTAATTTTTCTTTTTTAATCGATGTTTATCCATATTCTAACTTGAGAGAGAGTGTGTGTTAGTTGTTATATTTAATAATAGTGTTGAAGTTGCACTACTACAAATAATACATTCTATGACAAATCTTTCATCTCAACTAACAAACAATCGAGGTGTAAACCAAAGACGCGTCATATTTTATTTTATTTTTTAAAAAATACTACATATTCCATCTTTTGAGTTGACAACCGAGGGAAAAAGTGTTCAAGAGACATACCATCGAATTGATGGAAAATTGCGATCTAAACGCAGCGGAAAACAAAAATTTCCTTTAGTGATCCTTACGAATGAGCATGGTCAGTGATAGAATCGTTACCTCTTTGTGGCGATTCAGATCTTTGATGCAGCGATCACAAGCGTTGATGAAGTGCAACGCCTATACTCAGTCCACACGAACAGCTTCCGGTCACAGTGCTAGCTGCTTACGAACAAAATTATTTGAGTGAGAAAAGAGAATCAAAAACGAAATTGCATCAAGTGAAAGCTTCATCACAAGGGTTCCTTTTATAGACTCTCTTGTGGGCTGCGGGCTAAAAACCCAATTCACATGATCCATAATAATATTATATATTATTATAATAACTATTATTATAATAAACATATTTATTTTATTATTATTTTATAACCATTATAAAATTATTATTATTATTATTATATTATCCGAATTTCTATTTTTTCACTTAAGTGCACCGTACCTTACCGTGTTCCTTTGATTTCTCTATCTCTCATCAAACTGTCCTTATGTGTGTGACCCTGTAGGATTTCGTAACGTTGGTAACTATATTAAATTATATATTTAACATAATAAACAGTAAGCGGTATCTAGCAACACATCACTGCTACCCAAGTCACGAAAATGTCATGTGATCTGACAAAACCTTTTTCGTGATAATATATGTTTGTACAATTACCCTTTTGCCCCTATGTCTATATTGAACACAAGGCATACACTGTGTCATCCTTGTCCAGTTCAATATTGGGCCCTTAGACATTTCTCCTGTTATGCAGGATTGGCAAATTCCATCTAGGACACTCATGTCCCTCAGCATGCTTCGTGAAGTGCCCATCAACTGTCTTTATGATCATCCAGTTACGGATAATGTTTGATCAGCAATAAAGCACCCGACTCTACATCTAGGGTCCATAGTGGTTTCAGGTCGAAGGGTGGTAATACACCATTATCACCATGAGAATAACTTATGACACTTTGCATAACATACTATGTAGTATTCTCATAGCGGGTCAATCCGGTATAAATATTACTCCTAATATTTATACCTTATGTCAAGACTTGATAACTCTTTATCCATGATCCATGAGATGTGATCATCAGTCTATCTTCATAATAGTCTCAATGCTTTTAATGTTATCCCACTTTGCAATAAAGCTTGACTACGGATATTTTAAGAATAATGTCTTTATGTTTAATGGGATCTCATGATTAAGTCACACTTAACATTTCATTAAACAGACTAACTATTCTAGGGACTTTATTATTCTGAAAGACAAACATAATAAAGAAATGTCTTTTATTATTAAACGAATAATCCGATACAAGTACCAAAAAGTATTGGTCTCTAGGGCTTACACCAACACGAATCTCATCAACTGCATTTTAGCGCCTTTTATTATTTTTCATGACCTATGACTTTGGTTGAGCTGACAATCGAGGGAAAAATTATGACTTATTACCTCGGTTGAGCCACTAACCGATGGGAAAAGTATTAATAAACCTTCCTTTGAAATTCCAACAACTTTATTTTTGTTGTTGTTGTTATTGTTGACATTTAATGTTCTAACGACTATATTTATTTATTTGTTGTTGTTGATGATCATGAGGAAGAAGATTCAAAATTTATCAAAAAATTTGATGCTTTGCAGATTGAAACAAAGAAAAAAATAGGTTAAAACAAAAATTTAGTAAACAGACTATTTTACCTCGGGTATTATTTCCAACCAAGGTAAGAAGTAGTCCATATTTCATTATCATTTTACTTTATTTTTATATTTTATTTATGGTATATTACCTCGATTAAGCCAGCAATCCAGGGAATTTTTTTATCCAATTTAACGAAAAAATTTAAATAACGAATCTTTGTCATCCATATATGTAGTAAAACTAGTCAAGATATTGATAACTCATCAATCTACACGAAACATAAGTGATCCACATGGAACTCTTACTAACCAATCAGAATGTGAATGCATCAACGATCCATCTTGGATGCAAGCTAAAATGTAAACTTAACATAATGAAAACAATGATAATGAAATTAGCAGAATGAAGTACTAAACCATTCTCTATATTGATTGCAAGAGCAGAAAAAAGTGTCCATGTTGATTCCTTAATGTAATTCATTCACTTATAATTTCTTGTTAAAAATGTTTAATGTTAGTTAGGAACGCATGGATGTAACTTAGCAATGTAATTTTTGTTATTGTGTCAAGTAAAATGTTTAATGTTATATTGTTGATATTTAATATTTAACGATTCTAATGATTTTGTTTATTTGTCGTTGTTGTTTTTTAGATTTAATGTTTAAGAATTTTATTGATCTTTTTATTGTTGTTGTTGTTGAGATTCAATGTTCAACGATTCTATTTATTTATTTATTTATTTATTTATTTATTTTGTTGTTGTTGATGATGAAGAGGAGGAAAATTCAAGTTTTGTCAACAAATTTGATGTTTTGCATATTGAAACGAAAAAAACAAGTTAAAATAAATTATTTGTAAACAAATTGTTTTACCTCGGGTATCATTTCAAACCAGGGTCAAAAGTAGTGCGGTTATGAAAATCCAAAATATGTTATTGTTGGGGATCAAACCCTTGACCAATACAAGTTTCTCCACGATGAATTTTTTTCGACGGGAAAAGTTGCAAGTTATCATGATGCTCTTCGTTAACTCGACTATGAAATCGAGGTAAAATCCCTTTTCAGACAGAGGTAAAAATGATTTTTCATAGTAGTGTTGTTTAAAAATATACATATTTAAGAAGCGTCACATTGCTTAGTTTTATAAAGGAAAAGGGAACCCAATGTTATATAAAGGATTCGAGTTCGTTGTTACAAGAAGTATCAGTCAAAAACACTTTAAATTGGTATTTGACTTCTTATATTTTCTCTTATACTATTGTGTTATAGTATTGTGAGAGGTAGCTAAATATTTTGTTTGGAGAGTGCGGGTGTATTGGGGCCTTGGGGTGTTTGAGGGTAGTCTATTTGCTATAACAATTTACACAATGTATTATTCTCTGATTCTCATTTGACAACAGTCATGATTTTTCTTTGATATTGAAATTTCCACGGTAAATTCTTATGTTGTTATTATGTCTTTTTTTTCTATATGCATTTGTTTTTCTATATACATTTTATAATCATATTTTTTGTTTTTTGAAAAAAGTTGTTATGTTTTAAAAAAAATATTTCACACTATTTTGTTTTTAATTAACATATTATTCTTTTAATATATAAAATATAACAATATTCTATTTTATTGTTTTAAATATACATATATATTATACTATATTTTTAATAAATATTTTTTTAAGAAATTATTATTCTGTTTATATATATATATATATATATATATATATATATATATATATATATATATATATATATATATATATATATATATATATATATATATATATATATATATATATATATATATATATATATATATATATATATATATATATATATATATATATATATATATATATATATATATATATATATATATATATATATATATATATATATATATATATATATATATATATATATATATATATATATATATATATAT